GTGGCTTTAAGGCGTCAATACACTTAATCGTACCCTCAACTACACTCAACTCGTTTCCTCTTATTTATCCTTACCAAAGGATTTGAGATGTGCATCCTTTATTTCATATAAATAGGATGTGCTGCGTCCTAACAGGCTGCAGCACCAGGGAGGGCAAATACTGAGATTCTATGAAGCCAATTTGTTAAGGGGAAGGATGTCCTAAAGGAACTCTGCAGTCTTATGGACTCCACCCCCTACTCCAGCTTTCTGGACCCTACACCCTACTCCAGTGGTTGAAAACTACAACTCCCAGCAGTACCAGAGAGAGAACTGCGAGGACCCAAGGGTGGAGCTAGCAGGAATTCTGGGACATCTGGGGGATAAACAGGGCGCGATTGCATTTGCATCTCTCTCGCTCTCTCTTGCTCTGGACTACCTGACTTGGTGCTTTCAGTCAGCATAGCCATAAGGTATTCCAGTTACTTTGTATCCCACTCTCTTTCCCTGGGTTGTTTCCTTTTCCCTTCCCCTTTTGTAAATAAACCCTTTATTGACCCTTTTGTGTGTACCTGCAGTATAACTGAATTGTGAGCGTGTGGGTGAGGCCCCACAGGGAGGCGGCCCAGTCCACTCTGGGCTACCCTGTAACAGACTGACAAAGCCACATCATATGTCAGGCTGATGCCACTATCCAGTTGGCTGCTCTCAAAGCAAGCCATTTAAAGACAAATAAGCTTCCTTGTAAAAAAAGTTTTTCCATTATTATTAATTAAATATTGGTTTGTAACACTAGATAGGTCAGGTAGACAGTCTTTTAAATCAATACGGTATAAACTGCTTCATATTCACCTGTAGAACTCTAGTTTCTACCCATCACCATATAGCCACCCCATGCCCCTTCCCCTCTGGTGACCACAATTTATTCTTAGAGTCTAAAATGTGTTTTGTTTTATTTTCTTCATTTATTTGTTTTCACTATTTATGGCCACATACAAGTGAAATCATACAGTGTTTGCCTCTCCCCATCTGATTTAATTCATTAAGCACAATACCTTCTAGTTCCATCTATATTGCTGCAAATGGCATAATTTCATCTTTTTTATAGTTGAGTGGCACTCACTCCACTGTGTATATATGTCAATGGGTATTTTTTATAATGCCTGATAAAATATGAATACAAGAAACCCTAGGTTCTAAGCCAAACTCTGCCCTAGCAACCACCAAAAATGACTATGACGGATATTTTCAGACACCCAGCCCCTACCTGAACTCCACCAGTGAACTTACAATTTTCCAAGGAAACGTCACTGTAACAGTTCTTTCTCACCCTGAGCAAGATGTGTCTGATGCATACCCCCAGCCCTAGTCTTGGGAGGCAGTGGAACAAGTCTATCAGATCTTCAAATATTTGTGAGCAACCGCCAAGCCCTTCTTTCCCCTCCCCTCGGCCATTTTGCTGGGGACATATTCTGAAGCTCCTGGTTCTCCTGTCATCTTCTGATGGGCAACCATGGCAAAACTCCAAATTCTAAGAGTGTTCTACCAGTAGTAAATGCGTCACAGGACGCTGTTGCTCCACTCTGAGAGCTTGGCCTATAATTAGAAAACCACATGACACTTCACCTGACTTGGGGATGTTGGTTTTTCCTACTTGCATTACTGCTCAGTTGTTCCATACCTGGGGGGTGTATACTTTTTACTCAGTGTTTGTTTTTTTTTTAAGAACTATTTGTAGAGATCTGTTACACACTCTGTGTCAGAGAGAGATAAAGCACAACGGTCCCTGCCCTTACTGAGTTCCAGGTTCTGGAGAGAACCCAATTCAGACTAACCAGACACTACAGTCAGTGAGAAATACCAGGAGAGGTAAATAGATTTTTTTTGTCCATCTCTTCAACTCCCTGTACAAGTCTCACACTCTTGTTTTTCTGGACTCAGTTTTCCTTATTTCAAGCTCAAAATGAAAAAAGAAAAAAAGAATGTAAGTGTCCAAACAGTTCTTTGTGCAATCATAATTGAACTGGGCATTCTCTTTGGCTAGTCCACTTCTGGTGCCCTCTCTTCCTGTTAGGGCTCACATTTGCGTATGGAGCAGCATCACAAACTCTAGCAAGTCAGGAAACCTGTGTTTTAGTCCTTGAGACAAACTGCTTATGTGCTCATTATATATGATAGATTATATAACATACTGTGCTTTCATTTCTGCTTCTGTGAGCACACTGGTGGCCCCATGGGTCTATGAGGACAGTGAGGACCCAGAGACAGCAGATCCTTATTCTTCAGCAGCCATGACCCGGCAAAGGCCAAGCATGGTAAGTGCTCCAATGTTCGCTGAATGTATGCATGGATGGGTGTAAGAACTGCTATTCTAGGGCCCTCCCTGGTGGTGCAGCAGGTTGAAGCACAGCACTAAGAAGCTTAAGCTTCTTAAGTTCGATCCCCGCCTGCCCCGGAGGTGACCACATGGCGCAGCAGACCTCTCCTGACCCGCCCGCTGCTCCCCTCAGCAGTGTACTTCGTCGATCTGCCTGTTCTGCTCCCCACTCTGTCCCTGGTGAATCCTCTCACCCTCCGTATCTTTGGCCTGTACCCTAGTTCTGTATGAATAAATAATAAATCTTTAAAAAAAAAAACAAAAGAACTGCTATTCTAGAGCAACAGGAATCACAGAATCAGTGAACAACTATTTTTTAATGGCTTCTAAGTACACTGTAGAACCACCATGCAGAGGGGCCTCCCTGGTGCTGCAGAGTGTTGAAGCTCAGCACCGTGATGGTGTCTCCAGACACTGAAGTGAGAGTTCCATCCCTGGCCAGGGAGCTAACTTCATGGCTTGGCAGGCCTCTCTTGTCCTACCCGCTACTCCCCTCAGCACCCTCAGCAGTGTGTTTGAGTCAATCTGTCTGTTCTGCTCCTGACTCTCTCACCCTCCACACCTCTGGCCTGTACCCCAGCTCTTGTATGCATAAATAAATAAATCTTAAAAAAAAAAAAAGAATAACCATGCAGAAGTGAGTCCCCTTATCTCCTTCCTTACTTAAAAAGAAGGGCCTTTGTAAGTCAAAGATTGTGTTGACACATGAATAATAAATAATGTTCTCTAGATGGGCTCTAAGGAGTTGGCAATATTAACAAAAGACAAGTCCATTGGTCTTGAGTGTTTTATATCAGTGAACCTGAGAGACCCCAAACTCCAGCCCCCCTCTCCACCCCCGCCCCGACAACCTGGCACACAGGCCCTGACACCATGCTTCAAGTTCATGGAGGGGGGAATGAGACAGAGTGAATGGATGGAGCCAGGAACCCAGGGAGAGCTCCCTGCTCAGCAGCCTCAGAGTGGACTGGTGGGCACACAGCTTATGGGAAAACCAAAGAACCCCCACACCAGGCTCCATGTGGACGAATGGTTGTCTGTGACTAGGATTTTCTTTCTGGTAACAGGCTACACATTCTCATGCTTTCTAATATATCAGGCCTAGCTAAAGGGTTACAAAGATATCATCCAATTCAACAAATATTCATAAAATGTGAGGTCCTACACAAGTTTAAGAAACAAAAATGAACAGCAAACAGCCCCTTCCTTGAAGAACCCACCCAAATAACTCTCCTGCTTCTCGACCACATACCAACCCACAATGAACCCCACCCTCAAGACCCATACCCCAAGGTTCCACCCAGCCCTGAGCCCCTTGAATTATGAGTCCACGTGAACTCCTGTCACTTCTGCAATTTTGTTTCGCTTATATGTCTAGACTTCATGAAGGTTATGTCACCTCCCTGATTAGTCTGGGCCTCCTAAAGATAGAAACCATTTTGGGAACTTTCCAGAGAGAATCTACATCAGAGATTTGTATCACAATCTCTGCTCAGATCAAGCCCAAGCCTTCAACTCGATAATCTCCACCACCTGGCACAGAATCTGGCCCCACAGGTGCCCACAAACTTGTAGTAGCAAAGCCTAGAATCAACTATCAACAGGTTAACACAAAGATAATTTGAAAATTTAAAGGGTAAAAATGATCAAACAAAAATAAAAACAGGTTTGACTCATGCCTCTCCTCTTTCTCCCTGATAGGTGAAACAAAGTCACACCACCCTCTCTCACCACCTTCTGCCTGAGGCTACCAGGACTTCTTGTTAATCCTGACTTTGGCTCTCACAGGTATCACCCCACATCCAAGCCCAGTCTTTTCTCTTTCGTGGAGCACATTTCCTAAAGTCTCTGGAATGAATCAAGTCTAGTAAGTGCCAGTCTTCTGTAACCCTCACTGTTTACTCTTATACTACCTTCTCCTCTGCTTTGGGCTGTTTTCAAACAAGGTCTGGAGTCAAGAGCCCCAGCAGCCTAGGAAAACACCTTCCCCCTCTGTGGTTCTCAAATCCCCTATAGCCCTGAGGCTTGTCCAACCCAGTTCCCTCTCATGGAGGCTGGAGCAGTAAGCCTCCGTCTTCTCCTGGGGAACAAGAATGGTGGTTTCACTGGTCCAGGGCAGAGGAAACAGCCTCCCCTCCCTGATCATCCCTGCTCCCCACCTTTCCCACCTTCTGCAGCTTCCAAGCAACTATCACCAATGCCGTGCCAAGGACAGAGGCTGTGCCACCCTCTCTTCTGCAAGCCCATGGCACTCTCCTGCCAGATATTAACCAAGAAAGTGTCACTGAAATGTATAAGGAAATACAAACAAGAAAAAAAAAAGACTTGAGGGAGAAACCATCACATCCTGGCAGGTAGGAAGGCAGCTAGGAGGGGAGGGAACAAGCACAGCTGCCAAGTTACAATCACCTTTTTAAGCTCTTAAAGAAGGCTGCGTTTCTTTTGTTTGGCCAGTTTCACTTCCCAGATTCCTGTAAAGTGCATTACCAACCTGCTACCTCACAAGGCTGGGCGGCCTAGTTGTTCTCACTCCAAGGGGTCACGGGCTGGTATTAAAGTGCCAAGTGCCAAGTGCCAATTGCTGAGTCGGGGAGCCTCTGCCTAGGAACCTGCCACACGCTCTTCAGGCAACTTCCAGCAACACCAAGAGTCATCATGAGAGTTCTAATTGCTTCCTTCCTTCTGTTGCTGCCACTAATGCTGATGTCCGTGGTCTCTGGCAGCCCAAACTCAGGTAAAAATAATAATAGTAATAATAATCTTCTATAAAGGGAGAAGGGGGGAGAAAATGTGGCAAGACAGAAAATAAAATGTGGCCCAAAGTATGCATTAAAATGCAGCCCCTTTTAGCTACAGGGATTTGGAGCAAGTTGGCTTATCTGAGAGCCCATTACCTTTTACAAAAAGGAGAAAACTACATGTATCCAGAATGTTGTGAAGTTAAATGAGACAGTGTATGTGAAGCTATCTGAAACTAGAGCTGGAAAAAAATACTAGCTCAGCAAAGATGTGCTGCTTTGCCTTCTTTCCCAGACCCCTTCAGAAGAGTAAGGAATTTACCCAGGGTCAGTCTTGGTAGGGGTGGTGAGAGGGTGTTGAAGGTAAACAGACATTTGTAGACAATAAAGAAGTCCTTGCTTACATTCTCTGTAGTGCATCAGCCTCCACAATTTTTTTAAAGACTTATTTATTCATACAGAACTGGGGTACAAGCCAGAAGTGCAGGGGTGGTGAGAGGACTCACCAGAGACAGAGTGGGGAGCAGAACAGGCAGATCGACGAGGTACACTGCTGAGGGGAGCAGCGGGTGGGCCAGGAGAGGTCTGCGGCGCCATGTGGATCACCTCCAGGACCGGGATCAAACATGCACTGAAGCGGCTGTGGCTTGCTTGCAGTGCTGCGTCCTAACCCACTGCGCCATCAGGGAGGGCCCAGCCTCCACAATTTTTAATGTTATTCAATGGTAAAATAATAATTAAAAAATCCTATCACCAGATGGTGTCCATATTTGAAGCTGTAGCCATACCAATCCCTGTTTTAATAGCCTACCATTTGGGAACAAGCCTTGGGTTTAACAGGAGCCCCAAACTGGCTCCAGTTTTCACTGTGGGGGAAGTAGCCAAGTCCCGAGCAGAAGAGCCATGCAGGAGAGACTCGTCCCAATGGATGCATCTACTTGACAGAAACATCTCTCTCAAAGGGCTACTCTGAAGTGAAATAGCTTTGGTACATGCTTAGAACCAGCTTGGTCTTGAAATTAGAAGCTCATGCTCCTCTACCCCAGTTTCAAACTTCCCTTTCCTGGAAGCTCTCTGGAGGCTGCTAGGACCCCAGACCTAGGCCGCCATTCTGCAAGGGTCAGGTATCCACCTCACCACAGCAGACACGGGCTGGTGCTTTCAGCCTGGACTCAGCTCTAGTCACACCTGCCTCTTCTGTTGGTCGCTCACTGACAGTGGTCTCTATGCTCACCCTGAATAGACTGTTAGCTGTGCCCTGAGCAGCCTGTGCTTTCCACCAGCTCATTTTTGTTTATATCCAGCTCAAACTTACATCCTTCTCTCAGCCTCCCCTGACTCCTCCCATGTGTAGACTGGAGCTCTCCCTCCGTGAACACGCTTAGTCCTTATGAACTTGACTCTGTCTCTGCACTTTTCCTATTTCACCTTATGTTGCCCTTCTAGAAGTTAACTTCCTTGGTGGAATAATCAGCTACACAGTTCCCTTAATTCTCACACTTCCCTTAAGGGTTCTCAGCAAATATTTGCTAAGTGAAAGAAAAAATCTTCAAGTTTTATTGCCCTTTGAAGGCTCCATACCAGAATTTGATAACAGCTTTGTTGACATTTGGGGCTGGTGACTCTTTGTTGTAGAGCTTGTTTTATGCACTGTAAGTGTTTAACAGTATCACATGGCCTCAACTCACTAAATGCAACATCCATCCATCTCCAACATCCCTCAATCAAAATAGCCAAAAACATCTCCAGACATCGCTCACGGTACCCTGCAGGGAACCTCAGCTCTAAAGCAGAGGCTCTCAAGCCCGGCTCCACATCTAGACTCACCCAGACCTTTAGACCCAGTCTTGAAGTCAGGGACATAGATTCACAGCCTGCCTGGCCACCTATTTTGAGATCCTGGACAAGGTGTTTAACTATTTTAGCCCTAGTTTTACTATCTTAAGGAAAAAAAATATATCACTGAGCATACAGAATCATCATGAAGATCAGATAAAATATGCAGCTAGTACAAGTCCAATAAATGAACTGCACAAAATTTCTAAACTCCTAAAGCACAAGAACAACAAACTGGGGAAAGTTCACCGGGTGGTACTATTACAAACCGCTCAGGGATGGAGGCCGGACAGTCTCCGTTTCCCAGCAGGCACAGCTGTGTGACCCCTGCGAAGTGTGCCCCTCCAAAAAGTTCTCAAAATAAGATATGATCTTTTAAATTTTTAGCTTTTAACTTTCCAAACTTTCAAAAATGTAGTAAAAACTATCAATGTTCTGCTAGAGCCTTCATCCAGTTTTTTTTTTTTAAGAGTTATTTTATTTATGTATACAAGAACTGGGATGTAAGCCAGTGCTGCAGGAGATGAGATGAATCACCAGAGACAGAGTGTGAAGCGGAACAGGTGGATCAAACGAACTACCCTGCTGAGGGGAGCAGTGGGCGAGACAGGAAAAGTCTGCTACGCCCAGTGGGTCACCTTTGGGGCCAGAGATCAAATTCATGTTGCAGTAGCGAGTGATAACCTGATAGCACTGGCTTTAACCCCTGTTCCACCAGGGAAGCCCCACATCCAGTTGTTTTCAAAGAGCATCTTACATACCTACAACACAATTATCAACACCAGGTAATGAACATTAATACAATGTTATTAATTAATGTACAAATTTTTAAGTTTTGGTAATCATCCTATGCTACTTCTGGCGTAGAGTACTATCCAGAACCCTACACAGCATGAACAAAGCTGTCTTGTCTTCTCAGTCCCTCTTCATTCACGAGTAACTTTTTAGTCTTCCCTGTCTCTCACAACCTTGACACTTCTGAAAAGTACTGGTCAGCTATTGTGTAGAATGTCCCTCAATTTGGAGTGTGTCCAGAGTTTCCTCATTATTAAATCAGATTATGTATTTCTTGCATTAATACCACAGAGCTAACACATGCCTTCTCTGCACATGATACCATGATACCATGATACCAACAGTCCTCATTACTGGTGACGTTAACTTTGAACATTTGTTTAAGATGGTGACTGAAAAGTTAGTATTTTCCCATAGTAATAAATAGGTATGTAAGGAAAAATACTTTGAGATCCTTCCCTTTCATCATACTCTTGCCCATTAATTTTTGAAATACGTTGACGAATCCTATTTACAAGTATTACTATATTTACAAGTATTACTATGGTATTAGCCGAAAGGTAGTTTTCTGTTTCTGTCATTCCTTCTACATTTATTAACTGGAATTCTACTATATGAAAGCACTGTTCTTTCTCCCCAATTTATTTATTCAGTGAATTATGTATGTAGGTAAAGATTCATGGATACCTGTAATTATAATCCACCATTATTTTTAATTATGTTGCTCATCTCATCCCAAAATTGGTCATTGAAGGTTCATTCAACTTGGCTTCTGAGTCTTTTTGTCATATCATTTGTGTAGTACTTGCTGACACCATAAGATGTCCCAGGCTTACTTTTTGTTGTACTTTCCAGCCCTAGCCCTGGAATCCACCATATCTCTAAGAAACCCTAGCTCCTTTTATAGGAGAACAGTATGAAAACATGGGTCCTAAGTATTGCCCAATGTTACTAGGTTGCCCGTTGCTCCTAGGCCCTCTAGTGGACAGAGCTAGGAATTGACGGGAGACACACCAATTGACTATTGTTAGCTCCATTTTACAAATTAGGTAAATGAGA